TACGGACTTCAATGTCCTTGTTCTGTGCCCTTCTCCACCGTGCAATCAGCCCGTCTTCACTCTCCGTTACATACATAGTGCTCGGCAGGGGCTTCCTACTCGGAGCCTCTACATGCTGCATACTTTTCCCCGACCGATGATACACCTGATACTTACACTCGCCTAGTAACAAGGCCCATCTAGCCACACGCACACACAAGTCTTTCTTTTTCATTGTCATAGCAAACGCTTGGCAATCCGTGACGATAGTAAACGGCATACCTAACAGATATATTCTAAACTTGTTCAATGCTTTTACAATTGCTAGTACTTCCAGTTCGTAACTGGTGTAATTTGCTTCGGCGGTAGTTGTTTTTCCGCTGGCAAAGTAGACCGGATGGAATTTTCCATCGTCCAGATCTAGTTGCATTAAAATTGCTCCGTAACTCTCTGCGGACGCGTCTGTATGCAACTCAGTCTCCGCGCCCATTCTATACAACTTTAACACTGGTTCGTTGACAAGCGCTGTTTTCAAGATTTCAAAGGCCTCTACTTCTCGATCGCCGAACTGAAATTTTACCTCCTTTTTCAACAAATCCGTCAAAGGCTTAGCAATCTTCGCGTATCCCCTAATAAATTTTCGAAAGTACCCCGTAAGTCCCAAAAAACGCTGAACCTTTTTAACAGATGTTGGCTTGGGAAAGTTTGCTACTGCCCTAGTTTTATGTGTAGACGGCCTTATGGTATTTTTTGAGACTATGTACCCCAAATATTCAATTTCCTGCTGCAGAAAACGACATTTTCCCCAGCTTATAATTAGCCCATACTGCTCAGCTAACTCTATGACCATTTGCAAACGTTCCCACGCCTCCTCTAAATTCTTTGCAAGAATAATAATGTCATCCATATACACGATAACAATACCTTTACCTACTAGTTCCTTAAAGATCATCGAAATATACTTCTGAAACACAATGGGTGAAATCTTTAAACCAAACGGCAACTTCAAAAATTCATATTGCCCCGATGGCGTAACGAAAGATGTATATTTTCGGCTGTCTTTGTCTAAACATACGTGAAAAAAACCATTCTTTAAATCCAACGTTGTGAAAAACTGAGTACCTTGCAATGCATCTAAAATATCATCAATTAAAGGCAATGGGAAATGTGGACACTCAATAAGTTCATTAAGCTCGCGGAAATCAACACAGACTCTGATAGAACCATCTTTCTTTTTAACTACAACTATGGGACTTGCATATTCTGAGTTTGACGGTTTTATT